TGACTTCTTTCAACTGCAGTGTTGGATGCATTCACCAGGAAATTTGGAGAACAGTTGTCGTCTGGTCAATGGATTGGAGGAGGTCTATATTTGTTCCCATTCCTAAGAAAAGTGATCCAACTGAATGTGGAAACTATTAAACAATAGCATTAATATCACATGCAAACAAAATACTGCTGAAGAACATTCAAAAACAGGTAGAACAATACATAGATAGGGAACTGTCAGAAGTTCAAGCATGATTTAAAAGAGGCTCCACAAGAAAAGACTGATAACACAATTACAAAATGGGCAAAAGACATGGAAAGACTTTTCACAGAGGAAGATATTCAGATGGCTAACAAACACATGAAGAAATGCTCAAAAATCACTGGCAATAAAAGAGATGCAAATCAAAACCACAGTGGGATACCAGCAGCAGTGGGAAAGTTTAACAAGACAGTAAGTAAAAATATTGGAGAGGATGTAGAGAGATAGGAACTCTTATACATTGTTGGTAGAATTGTAAAATGGTACAACCACTCTGGAAAATAGTTTGGCGTTTCCTCAGGAAGCTGAACATAAAAATTCTGTATGACCTAGCTATTCATTCCATTACATGGAATATATCCAAAGAAAATGAGAACTGAGACACAGATGGATAATTGTACACCAACATTCATAGAAGTGTTATTCAACATCACAAGAATATGAAATCTGCCCAAATGTCCAACCATAATAGAATGGATTAAGAAATTAAGGTACAAAAGAAGAATGAACGGGGTGTGTGGGGGGGGAAGGATAGAGAAAATAGTGCAACAATGAATGAATGGAAACACAAAATCTCTGTAAATGTTCATTAAAATTAATAAAATTTAATAAAAAAAGAGGCTGTGGCAGCAGGGCTATCATTGCGGATGTCAGATGGTTGTAAGGAATACCAGAAGAATGTCTATTTGTGCTTTAATTAACTATGCAAAGGTATTTGACTGTGTTCATCATGACAAGTTGTGGCTGACATGGACAAGAATGGGAATAGTAGGGCACTTATTTGTGCTCATGTGGAATCTATACCTTGACCCAGGAAGTTGTTGTGCAAACAGAGCAAAGGAACACTGCATAGTACTGCATAGTCTAAAATTGAGAAGGGAGTGTACCAGGGTTGTATTCTCTCTTCATACCTATTCAGTCCGTATGCTGAGCAAATTCTGAGAAGCCGGATTCTATGAAGAGGAATGTGGCATTAGGATTGGTGGGAGACTCATCAATAACCTGTGTTATGCATATGACACAACCTTGCTTGCTGAATGTGAGGACTTGAAGCACTTGTTGCAGATAAAGGAATGCAGCCTTTTCTAAGGACTGCAACTCAATGTCAAGAAAACAAAGATTCTTACCACTGGACCAAGAGGCAACATCATGATAAATGGAGAGGAGATTGAAACCATCAACAGCTTCATCTTGCTTGGATCCACAATTAACATCCTTGGTACGAGCAGTAAGGAAATATTGAGACACATTGCATGGGGTAAATCTGCAGGTAAGTACCTTTCCAAATTATTGAGGAGTAATTATATCCGTTTGAGGACTGAGGTGCATCTGATTCAGGTCAACAGATTTCAGATTACTTGCTACACATCTGAGAGCTGGACAATGAGTAAGGATGACCAGAAAAAGAATTAATACCTTTGAGCTGTGGTACTGGAGAAGAGAACTAAGCATCCTATGGACGACTAAGAGAACAGGTATGTCTTGGAGATGGTGCAAAGTGCTCTTTGGAGGAGAGAATGATGAGGCTTTGCCTCTCATACTTCGGACATATTGCTAGGAGGGGCTATTTCTTGAAGAAGAACATGATGCTGGGAAGGGTGAAGGGTTGGCAAAGGAGAGGAAGACCCTTAACCAGGTGGACTGACAAGGTGACTGCTGCAATGGGATCTTATGTCAGGAAGTATGGGGTTGACACAGCATAGAATAGGATACAGATCTTTTGCTCATAGGTTAGCTATGAGTCATACTTGACTCGATGGCACCTAAAAACATGCATTATTCACGACCGCTTTTGTGAACACATTGCATTACAGACTCTTAGCAGATGTGGGGTAATACTGTAACAAAAATCTCAAACTTAAGGCCTTGGTTTGTGTTTTAAAGAGCTAGTGGTGACTAGGAATTTTAACATGTTATTGAAAACCAAAGAGTTTGGTTAGGGCATTAACAGAAAATGGTGGCAGTTTAAAAAGATTATTTGGGGTGCTGTTGTGTGCCTTGGCATCACTTGCAAATCACAGCAACTCTATGCACAAGAGCTCTGAACTCTGCCCTTTTCTGAGCCAGTTTCACTATCTCCAACACTACTGGCCATATCCTACTGTGTCAACTGTTTTCATCCACATCTTCCTCTCTTCCGCTGTCCCTCCACCCTTCCAAGCATGATCTCCTTCTACAAGGATGGGCCCTCGTGGCCATGTGCCCAACATATTAAGAGTTGGGGGTTTCAAAATTCTTTCCTCCAAGGAGAAACTTGGCTTCATTCTCTTCAGGTCAAACCTGTTTGTTGACTTGGCAATCCAGTGTGTTCAGGTATCTTCTCCAGCACCACAGCTCAAAGGCATTGTTTGGTTTTTCTTTTTTTCTTCTGGCATCATTAACTGTCCAACTCGGATGCATAGCAAGTAATTGTGAAGGCTATGGCCTGGTTCAGGTGCACTTAAGTCTCCAGACTGATACTGCTACTCTTTTTAGCCCCATGGAGAGAGGTTCCTAACAGTAGACTTTCCCAATGCAATTCATCTTTTGATTGATTTCCTGACTGCTGGTGGTTAAGGCATACACAGGAGCAAAATGGGCACTTGGTGGTAACAGGAAAATGAGCTTGATTGGGTAAAACTTTCAGGCAGAGAACTGGGAGTTTGATTTGGCTTTTTTTTCTAGTTCCCTAAAACAAAATGAAGAGACATAAAGAATAAATTCTTCTGTTTTCAAATGGAATCTGGGAGAAATTATAAAGGACTAGAACAGTCTCTTCTTTAAATTCAGACATGGCTTCAATGCGGAAATCATTTCCAAAGTGGGGCAGAAGAATCTTTGTTCAAGACCTCAAAAAGATCTAAGGCAGTCCTTCATAGCACAATTTGGACAAAAGGCTATGGATCTAAAAAGACATCTCTTGTGGGCTCTGCCCTTAACAGGACTCAGAATTTCAAAGATAATATTCTTCCAGCAGTTGTTTCCTCTTTTTGAAAATATCTACAGTAATAATGTCATGCTTTTATTACTGGGTTTGGGAAAAAGAGGACAGATAGATTGTTTAGTTCACAGATAATCAGATTAGAGGAATGTTACTCAAATACGTATCCCTAGGAGATCCACATATAAGATGGGCTTCTGGACTAAGAGTTACTGTTCTAAAGAGATAAATGAATTTTAATAGCACATGGGAGGGATGTGAATTATCATCACCAAATATGAGACTGAAAAAAGTAAGTCACACCACTTTCTATCCCATGCGTACTTATTATGTGATGAAGTGGTAGTGGTGGTTCTATGCTCCTTCCCTTTGATAGGCATAAGCCTAGTCAGACATAAAAAGGTACTCCAACTTGGGACATGCCTGCTGGAACATTTGCGCCAGATCTCTAGGTAAACAGCTGAGCCACTGTGAATACACACCACCATCAGGAAATTCAAACCAACCCACATGGTATGGTTAAGTCTTGAATCTAAATGAAGGAGAGGTTGTTCTTGGCCAGGTCTCAGTTGTCTCCTTTCGGTGTTCCAGCTCAATTAACAATTTGACCACAAACCTGAAAACTTGCTGGTTGCAGCTGAACGGCTTGTCCAATAGGAACCAACTCATAGAAGACTTCTTTGGTAGGTTTTCAGAGGCAGTAAATCACACAGGAGCCTCCCCTAAGGAAAAGCTTAGTCTTTCCTTAATTGTCACAGAAAACCAAAGACAAAAAAGTTTGTTTGAAGCTACTAAGTTCTGGGATGATTTGCAATAGCTAACCAGAATATGGTTTTGGTAAAAATGTAATATGGATAAGCATATATTAGATGACATCACAAATTCATGTCAACTCACTTGAGTTAGAAACAAACATCAGCTCAATACTGAAGGCAGTTATGTTATGATGTGCTGTAGAGTTGACCACGACTGAAGGCATTAAGTTTAACAAATTTTCAATCTCTTGGGATTTGCAAACTTTTTTAATATGACCACTGGCTTTCTGAGGAGCATTTAGCAGCTTACTGTGTAGAGATTTATCTTCATGAGTCACTGTCATCCTATCATTATTTTAATATTGAGTACCTCAGGGTCAGAACCATAGACGACCCTCTGGCGGGTTATCAGAGGCAATTAATAGCACAGGAGGAGGAAATTGCCCATTCTTCTCCCACGAGCAGCCGTTGTCCTCTAACTGCATGCCTTCAGGATTGTAGCACAGCTTCTTGCCACCTGGTTATCAGAGCTCCACACCATTATTTATAACTGTATTTAAAATTAACAAACTACAAACAATAAAATACAAAGGAAGATGAGAGATGTTGCATGTTCCTGTACATTTATTTATTGTAAATATTAACACAGCAAACACTGGAGAAAGATTTCACCATTTTCTTGATATAAAGCTTAACACTTAAAGCCTATGCTTGTGTCCACCCCCACCCCCAGCCCACATGCAGGCATCATTTCTTTTTTCATATGCTGATTTAACAGATTACAATCTCTGGAAAATTTTTTAAGCATATCTTTGCCCTATAATGTTTAAAACAAATTTGTAACTGTATACAATCCTGTTTAAAACCATCATTTGTGTAATTCCCGAGGTGAGTACATTTACATAATAGTAACATTAAAATCTGTGTTGAAAACATCATAGTAAGCCAAACCATAAAGTCTCGAGATGTAAATGTTTATGAGGACTGCTGCTCAACTCAAAGCATGCAGACATTCGTGACCATTCGGATGAAGCTTGACAGTGAAACTCCTTCAGTAGGTCCAATGAGGTCACTTTTCACTCATCCCAAGTATCTCCATACTTATTTACTTTGACTAGGAAGAAAGCACAAACAAGTGATGATTCCAAATAGTAAGTAAGTAGCATGATTTCATGTTTGTAATTTTAAGGATGAAAAGTTTCTTTCTTACATGAATAAATGCACATGAAAGCCAAGGTTCAATTATAAAGGGAGCTAGACTTATTTGTGAACTAGGGATTAGATATAAATTTGAAAAAACACTATTTAAGAAACTTATACAAATCTCTGATCCTCCAAACAATCTCGCACATAAATCCCATTTTAAAGGTGAGAGAAAACAGATTAGTAACTTGCCCAAGGTACAAGCCTAGTAAAGTATATGAGCACAAATCTTCACAATATTACTGCATTACCTATATAAACATGACATATATTACAGCACATACTTTTTTAAACCTGAGAAAAATTAAGAAACAGATTACTTTCATTTTGTTTTTCATAAAAGACACAGTACTAAAAAAGTTCAAGCCTTCATATTATGATTAATTCAGTCTTCTCTCACATAAGCAATATTACCACTGAGAAAAACACAGTCTCAGTATTTCTGCTTGTTATAGACTTTATTTTTAAACATGTCACAGCTCTTCACAAGACCAAACTAATCATAACGAGGTAAAAAGCAAGTCTCATGGTGTTTACTAGAAACATAAGACACTCATTCAGGCAGTCCACAAAATCAAAACTATTTTCATTATTACACTAATGACATGCCCTTTCCCTTCACTGTCTGCCTTTTCCCTTACCCTTGCTCTTGAGTATAAAGCTAAAGGATACCTGATGACACCACTCCTCTGATAGTTAATGAAATATGTGTCTAAAAATTGTCATTATTTTTCATTCAAAATCTGTTAAGTATCATATTTTTCATTCAAAATCTGTTAAGTATCAGGAAATATAATCCATAGAAACAAAAACATTTATTAGAGTTCCCAACAATGTTTAAGTGTGAAAAGGTTCTGAGACAAAAAATTTAAAGTCTTGATGTAAAATACTCCATTTATAATTTATACAATAAAGGCAAGAACAGAAAAATTAACATGGTATATTTTACACACTGATTTGTTCAGGAAAAAATATTTCATGGAAAGAAAAACTACCAGGGAGGAATAAAGGGTAAGAAGAGTTAACGAACTAGCCAGGTTAAAACACAACTAGCTGATTTCACTCCACACAACATTATTCATGTTAAAGAGAAAACATAAAAAAGTTATCATGCATCACTGTGATGAAAGGAAATATTGTATTAAATCAGAAATGTCATTTGTCACAATGAATTAAGATGCTACTAATAGAAAAGTAAGAAAGTCTATTTTTTTGTAGATAAATATACTTTTAAAATTGATTAATCAGAGTTCATTATGTGTCACTCACTACTGTATGTGTTTCACATACATTCACTTTAGGAGGATGGCCTTATCATCACTTCTAGTTTATAAAAGCTGTTTAAGTCAAATAGAGCTCTTTAATTAACAAGAGCAGTCCTAAAAGGTGGTCCATAAATTAAATTATACCTGAAAAGGAGTGACTCACTAATGTTGAAATTTTTTTTTAATCAATGTTTTATAACGAAATACTATGCTTTGATTTAGCTAAGGAGGCAGTTGTCAGAACAGAGCAAGGAAACACTGACTGCATGGTTCAAAATTGGGAAGGGCGTATGCTCGGGATATGTCCTGTCTCCATAACTTTTCAATCTGTACGCAGAACAGATTATCCGGGAGGCTGGGTTCTATGAGGAAAAATGTGAGGTCAGGATTGGTGGAAGATCTGTCAACAATCTGTGTTGTGCAGATGACACAAACCCTGCTTGCTGAAACTGAGAAGGACCTTGAAGCGCTTGCTGTAGAAGGTCAAGGACTGCAAGGCTTCACGATGGACTGAGGCTCAATGTCAAGAAGACAAAGATTCTCACCACTGGGCAAACTGGCAGCATCAGGATGGTGGTGAAGAGATTTTCGAGATTGTTCACACCTTTAGTTTGCTCGGCTCCACAGACAACACTCTCGGCACCAGTAGCCAGTAAATTAAAAGATGTATTGCCATGGGAAAGTCTGCTGTTAGGGACCTCTCCAAAGTTCTGAGGAGCAATGGTGTCTCTCTGGAGACTAAGGTGTGCATGATACAGGCCATGGTCTCTGCAATCACTTGTTATGCATCAGAGAGTTGGACAATGACTAAGGAGGATAGAAGGAGAATTGATGCTTTTGAGTTGTGGTGCTGGAGAAGAGTATTGAGGGTACCATGGACTGCTAGGAAAACAAGCAGATTCACCCTGGAGAGGGTTAAACCGGGTGACTCCTTGGAGGCAAGGATTCTGAGGCTTCATCTGACATACTTTGGACATGTTGTAAGGAGGGACTGGTTCTTTGAGAGGGACATCATGCTTGGGAAGGTAGAGGGACAGCGCAGGAGAGGAAGGCCCTCTATGAGGTGGACTGATTCAATGACTGGGGTAATCAGGATGGATGTATCAGAGACAGTGAGATTGGCACAGGACAGAGCAGAGTTTAGGGCTGTTGTACATAGGGTCACTATGAGTTGCAAATGACTCAACAGCACATAACAACAACAAACAACAAAATGATAAAGACACTATAAATCATTATAATTAGACACTGACCATTGGTAGAGGATATACTGCTTATAACGTGCCAAATCTCAAATTTAAGAATTTACCAATCTACAATTTCACTTGTGAAACTTTGAATGCTGTAATCAATACTGTACAAGTACAGTCATGTCAATCTGTCTAGATTCTAGAACAGAACATTCTAGATCATTCATTGTTACTATTTCACAATTGGCTCTTTCTTGAAATGATATCAAGTTAAAAAAACCAAACAAACCAGTATTCTTTTCATAAAGAAAAGAACTGCCATCACTCCATATTACTGTCCACATAACAGAATTTCAAGAATGTTCACAGAAAAAACCCACAGAATCCAGCAAGGCCAAAGAGTCCTGTTTTCTTTGTTCTTAACCTCTGTTACTTTAAAGTTTCAGTCAAAATAGTTTTGATCTTTCAGTATAAAGCACTATGGTGCCCATAATAGAAAAGGTTACAAAAATGAGAAAAAGATTCCTCCATGCTCTCACAGAGCTTCACAGTCTAAATCAGCAGGTCAATTAGCAAAGCAAAGCACTAATATGAGTGTTTCCAAATTACAAAGGGAAGACCACTAAAATAGAAAATGTATGATAATTATTTTTGAGATTTTAAGTATTAAAACAATTTTATAGATTACAATCTATCAGTAATATCACAAAGGTATTCTCATTGCTATGTTGTTGACTGCGACCCTATGAACAAAAAGCCTGAAGCCTTTTTATAACTATCATCATTTACCAAAGTTCACAGAATTTCCAGGGGCATGCTGTTTAGGAAGTGGATGCCACTCACTCCTGTTTCCATATAAAAACAAGAAAATTCTAAATTATAGCAACAATTAAATAAAATAATCATAATAAAAAATACCAAAGATTTTAATGTATTTCTGCATTCTTTCTGTACACAAAACTCAAGATGGTATCAAGGACCTATTCTTTCCTTTAGTCATTAGTGAGATAAATAGAAACTAATGAAACAATCATATATTCACTAAAATTTCTTAATAAAGAAAATTCGGTATTGAAAATAGCAGCAAAATTTCATTAAAAATTTTTATTAGAGTGCAAACTCTCTGTAGAAATTTTACTTTGGGCAGTGTCAATCTTACCCAAAAAGACTAAAAACCTATTACAACTTTCTACTTTGTTAACTTAAAATGTTTAACTAATTGTAAAGCAATACTAGAGTTGGGAATTCTGTTGTGTTTTTTTAAAAAAAAAAAAGTCAAATTCCTCTTTTGGAAATTCTTTCAAAGCTATTTTACAAGGCATAAAACTATTTGAATTTTACATCTAGGGGGGAAAATCTATCTCATTATTTAATCTGGTTCTGCCAAAAGTGACATTACAGTTGGATTATCAACCTCAGGTAATTAGAGGTGGTTTGACTCAAGAGATGCCTTAGGGGGCAGAGGATGGAAAGGGGAAAGAGACCCTCTATTTGTAAGAGGAAAAAAATTGTCAAATGAATGCATAATTCTCAATTGTATTAGAAAGCTAGTTTCACTATCTTATGTCATACCACTAGAACCCACTGACACTGAGTTGATTCCAACTCTTAGTGACCCTCCACTAGAGTTTTGAGGCTGTAAATCTTGACGGCCCATCTTTCTCTCACAGGAGGAGTGGTAGATTTGAACTACTGGCCTTTTGTTTAGCAGTTCAGTATGTTAAAAACTATACCACCTGAACTCCTTGCGCTGCTATTAATATCTGATTCCCTTCTAAAAAGACAGTATGTGGAATACTTTAAGGGGGGGAAAAAAAAACCCAGAACTGATAAATGTGAAATAACTATTCTTTAGTTTTTAAAAGGAATTTTAGTTACCTGAAGTATTAAAATACACATTAACTAATGCTTTAACTAATGTTACACTTTCAATTCTAAAAACAAAGTGATTTAGACTAAACTACCATACCTTCTTTTTTTGGCATTGTTTCTTGCATAGGCCTGACTGAGGGGTCAGTCTTGTGTGTTAAAGTTACTTCATATGACTCTCTGTTCTTACTCCTTAATTCCTCATAAGTAATATTTTTTCTTTTAGGACTTTCTTCAAGGTTGGGCTCAGGTCCTAAAACAACAGTTAATAAATGGTTATAAAAGGATTTGAATAATTACTCCTTGCCTACAGTAAAAATATAGTAAGATGAAGAATCAAAGTAATATCACCATTTGAAAGGTATTTTCTCTAAGTGAATTAAAAATAGTAACATTTCTTTTCAGTTTGTTTTTATTTATAAAATTTACAATCAGCTGATGAGGGGGATCAAACACTGCCAGAAAAGAATGGATACTATAAAATGTAACAGCACAATTTAACTCATTTAAAAAGCCAGTGTTTTAAACTGGAAAGTTGTACTGTGTATAGACTGAAAAATAAATTTTCTATTGGTGACAAGTGAAGAAAATCTGACAGCGTTTTTATTTTATTTAGCAATATTATCAGCTCAATGTTGCTATGTTCTCAATCCACACAACTACCAACTATTTTGAAACATTACTTGTCTACTTCTATATTAATCAGAAATAACTGGAAATAACTTTTGAAAAGTATAAAATATTGCCTTTTAATCATAGTAGTCATTCACTTTGGTCTAAGAGATGTATTATTAAGGCATAAAGAAGTGGCAATGTTCAAACTACTGGACCTAGGAACCAGCATTTACTACTTATCCAAGTGATTACAGTCAAATCATTAACAATATGTATTATTGAGTCAAACAATGATATTAATTATTCTCAATTATAATGACAGGACCAATACTGAGCATTGCTTATAGAAAGTACGAGTGAGGCCACATAAATATTATTATGATCATTAACTAATACTAATAAAATATTCAACTAATAATTACATAACTACAAATGCTTTCATATCACATCAAAAATCTATTTTTAAGAAAGTTTTTTTGGTAACATATACAAATTAGGTACAATATTTTAATAAATTAAGCTTTTAAGAACTCTAAGAATGTTTTTTATTCAAAACAAACACTTTTAGAATACAATGATAAGGTCTGAGTGAAAAAATTAGCATTCTTAAAGCAAAATTAAATTTTCAACTTTAATCTTTTATTTGCCATAATGTAAATTATAATAATTCAAAACAAACACAAATTCTATTAATTATTTCTAATATTATACCATGGTTAAAAATACATTTTTTTCTAGATTAAAGAGCACGAATAAAATATCACAACCATATGTTACATTTAAAAGCGCTTCATATTTCCTTTATATTACAAGCTTACTTGAACTAATTTCCCCTCCCTGAAATGTGTAGTAAATTAGTACTCAGAAACCTCTGAGTCTCATTTCCTGTCTGTCACTGTCAACTAGTGAACATCCTTGGGCAAATCACTAAACTCCTTTCAATCTTGTGAAATATGGACGTTTGAATAGATGATCTATAAAGTTCCTTCCAGTTCTAATACTTTTTTAAAAGTTATTTTGTTTTGGAATTCTGTGACATGTCATGAAAACCTAAAACAGAAGACTGGGGAGGATTTTTTCCACTTCTAAAAGAGAAACTAAAATAAACTGCATTTTATAAACAAGCAAAAAACCAAACTTGTTGATTCTGACTTAGAGAGACCCTACAGGACTCAGAAAAATTGCCCTGTAGGGTTTCTGAGGCTCTAAATCTTTACGGAAGCATTATGGCATCCTTCTCCTGCAGAGGAGCACTTTACCACATATACACCTGCACTGTGTAGGAGTCTGATTTACTACTTTGGGAAGGTTATAAAAGAGCTGGAAGGAATAAGAAAACGTAAAACAGCACTGACTTACATCTAGCTGTAATAAACTATGTTTGTCCCATAGCAGATAAGAGGGAGTACTTTCAACTTTGAAAAACTAAAAATTCTCAATTTCTGGTATGAAAAAGCAAAACTGAAAAGAGTAAATAGGACTTAAAAGTGTCCTGATCTCTGAGGAAAGCAACTGGGCCAGGTCACTGCCAGCCCAGGCGAGAACAGCAGCAGAAAGATTATTAGCAGAGGAGTGAACAGATTGACAGCTGTGGAAGGTATAAGCATTCAAATATGACTTGCATTAGACTGAGTGTGGGGAGGTATCAAAGGGCTTTTTGGTTATGTGTATGTAGAAAACATATTATGTAACATGGAATTTCTCATGCAAATGGAGGGATGCATGATTAATGAATTACTAGAACATAAGCAGAATGTATTTGATCTTGAATCGAAAAAAATGGAAAGACACAGTGAAGCCAGTAACTTTCTACCTTTCTCCTAATATACCTTCTTTACCCTTTCCCTTTATAATTAAGTTGTCCTTGCTTCCTAAATTAAAGGGGATGCCCCCTCGAGCCTCTCAGACATTCTCAACCAAAATTCACAATCTCTTTCATTATCTAACATCCAGTTGTCTCTTAGCTCTTGTTCCATCTAAGGTGACTAGCCTCTCTATTCCTTCGGTCTAAAGCAAAAAACAACAAACAAAACGACCCATAGCTGACCGTCCAGTGGATTTTCAGAGGCTATAAATTACACAGAACAAACACTGCCCATCTTCTCTCATAAGAGATGGTGGCTTTGAACCATGTGTCTTCTAAGTTGGCAGCACAACTTTTTATCGCTGCCAGAGCTCTATCCACTGTAACTGCATTCAATGAAGGGAATATTCCATACTTTCACGGTCTAATAGAGTAGACACTAACAATTCTACTTCTGCCAATACAAATAAGTGACTGACATTTTAATTTCATTGGAACTGATTTCAACAGATGCACTCAAACACAGCAATGACTGTGGGCCTAGTGCAGGTTTGGGCAGGATTTCACTCTACTGGGCAGAGCTAGGAGTCAGAACTGACTGGATGGCACCTAACGACATACAGTTACTGACTACCTTTACATCCTAATCCATTAGAAGTCCTCTGTAGCCTCTGAAATCTTATTTGACTTATACCCAATTTCTCCTTTTCTACTCCTTTCAGCCTACACACAAAGTTTCCTCAAATAAAATCCTTATCTTTTAACCTTCTATATGCCCAGTTATTAGCTTAACTCCAATAGCAGGCTTTGTCAAGAAGTATTCTCTGGGGCCACAAACCTTTATCCTAGACTAGATGCATTCTGCAATTCAGCTTTTCATATTCTAGCAAAGTAGGAGAATATTTACCTCTTATATTACCATTGAGTCAGAAGTCTGAAGAAGCAATGCGTATCTACATACATTAATATTCCTCTCGTAAAGTCTAAGGGGGGAGAAATCACATTAAGTAAACACTGTCTGCAGTCAGTCATTGCTATCTAGTCTAAACGGACTCAGAGCTGACCCATCAGCAGGTTTTCAGAGTCTGTAAACTGCAAAGGAGGAGATGCCCATTTTTCTCTCGAAGAGTGAATGCTGCGGTTGGTATGTGCCGTGAGTTGTAAATGACTCATAATTGACCTTCCAGTGAGTTTTCAGAGGCTATAAATCACAGGGAAGGAAATCGGTCATTCTCCCACAGGGCAGTTGGTGGATTCAAACTGCACGCCTTTGGAAATGTAGCGTAACTTCTTACCACGATCCTACAACAGCTCAGAGTGACTGGCAGATTTAACTGCAAGAGAGGCAGCCTTTTAAGTTCGCAGTGCAGCACTCTATTACATCCTTAAGTAAAGACTACACATCGCTTTATGTCAAATCAGGTCAGATTTTACAGCAAATTATTTGAAAACTAAAATAAGCAAGCAAGAAAAAAAAAATCACAAACAAACCCCAAAGCACAATCTGTTTTTCCAATCCTAAGATTTCAGAATTTCAGATAAAGAATCATGGAGCTATACTCTGTTTCTAATTCCTTAATCTTTCACTGAAAATGAGGATGAAAGAAGAGAGAAAAGTAATCTTTGCTATAAGTCTACTATTTCTTGGGTAATGCCATTAATTATTTCATGTAATTCTAAAGGCTCTTCAAAAGTATTATTAGTCTCTCCAGACACAGTGCTAGCACATGCCAATCATAATGTAAATCCAGATCGTAACACAAATTCTACTTTCTCTCACTTACATTCTGTAATCCTCAAACCGACTGAGAATTTCCTACAGATAAGACTCAGTTCTTAATCATCTTTATTTCTTCCATATCTAGCAGAGTACCTGGCACCTAATCGTCCACAAGAAATGCTGGATGAAGAAACGAATGAATGAAAAAGCGAACAGCATGTTTAAGCTGAAACATACAGGTTATAGCCAGAAGAAAAGTTCATCAAATAAAGTTTATACATACGTTGGACCTAAAATGCTGAAATTCATTTCAAGAGAAGTTTCTACCTTGGGCAATATGATCAGTAATACCAGTGGGAGTAGATTCATTCATGGAAGCACTGAATGGAATTGGCTCATAACGAGGAAGTGTATCTTTTTCTATGTTGTCTGCTGCTGGAGAAGTCACAAAGGAGGGATGACCACCAACACTGGAGTCATATCTCGACTTCTGAGAATAGTGCCTGAAAATGCAAATCACATTATCTAAGAAAAAAGACCGAATCATCGTTTAAACTTAAGTATACTAAGATACATAAGTTATATTGTTTTCCAAAACAATGGTATTTTTAACACAGTTCTTTTCAAACAAAAAAGTCTGTCCCATTTTGTCACAAAAATATTACAATATGTCCTGATCTATCTAAATAACAACCAAAAAATATTTACATGCTATTTTCTAATCATCAAGCTTTAAAGATAATTATAAAGAGTTTTAAATTTTCTTGGAAAGAAAAAAGGAGTCCAAATTAAGCTCGATTTCAGTAAGTACATCCAATTTCTACATTAATTGGGAAGTTATTTTTACAACCAATGTGCATAGAAATTATTTTCCTAATTTACCTACAGGTTTAATGATAGCTTTCATTTGGTTGCTTGCATTTATAGTAACAGTAATTTCTCTACCTATCCATGTAATTACCTTATCCGTTTTTATTTACCTATCCACATAGATTCATTTACCTATACTTGCAAATTAACACCAAGCCATAATCTGAAGCAAATCAGTTAAGTAAGTAAACATTATTTTGTGTATTATGACTTAAGAATTTGAAAATTTTAACATTTCATAATCTTTAAATATTTACTGTTTAATTTATAAGAAAAATGACTCCATTATGAAAAGTTTGGTATAAGCAAAAAAAGAAAATCTATAAAATATCTCATCATCGTCATCTTGATTGACATGAAAGTATACCTTCTTCCAATATTTTCATGCGTTTTGCCAAAAGATAATTTTATGTATATCTAACTGTGTACTCTATCCTTTTCAGTTTATTAAAAGTACTCCATTATGATGCTTTGTAAGTTCAATATCACGTTTAAGAAACTTCACCAAAATCCTACTAATTAAGGTAAGTTACCATTCATTTTCCTTCACTGGAAACTAAATGTGTTTTTTCTCTTATAAACATAAAATTATAAAAGACACTTTTGTGGCTTTAATTTTTATTTTGTATTTCAGTTTACAGAAGTAAAAACACTCAAGGGGTTCTAAAATGTTATGACCTTTGCCATATGCTGACAAAATATTTGTTCTAATTTAATAGACACCAGAAACGTATTCAGATACCAGATTACTTTTTCAATTATTTAAGAGAGAATAATTCTTTGCATGAAGATAGATTAGAAAGACAAGCCACAGTGTAATGTTTTTTTTAAAGAAAATATTTTTTTGCTCAATTTACTTTCCTCCTATTTATTTAAATAATACACATTTAAAAGTAAAGTTCAAGTTTGCTAAGTGATAACATTGATAAAATTTTAGGAATTCAAGAGAAAACTCCAAAGAACAGTAATCAAAGATGTCTGTCAAGTCAAATCAAGATAAAACTCTTATTCTAGGACATATAGTCCCAGTAGAATAGAAGTCTATATTTAAAACAATGGTAGTCAAGTCTTGCTCTACTTTCTAAACTAAAATTAGCTTTAACCTACAGCAAAAGGGCAAATTTCCAATGGTCTCCAGTAAGGCAAAGTTTCATGCTTTGAATTATGGCAGTATTTTCTTCCTTAAAAAAAAAGTGTTATATAAAGATCAGAAGGTGCCCTACCCAGATGGTGATGGTCGCCGTGCCTGTCCTGACCGTAAGGCCTCTCCAAGAGGGGAATTCTCGAGATTCTTAAACTTCTCTTGGCAAGTTTTCACATAAGAAAGCTTTCCAGCAAAATATCCCATAATACACGCAACTTATTTGTTTAAAAAAAAAAAAAAAAAAACAGACCGGGTATCAGTATATATATGTATATAAATTGTAAATTTCCTACTTTTGTTCCTGATATAGAAAGGTAAAATGGGAAAAGGAATGAATGAGGAACCAGTTAGAGCACTAACTTAATAGTGGTGGTTTTGGCAAATTCTTTTCTTATAAAACAATTTCTTTTCCTATACGACCCATATTACTTGCCAAGTCAGTTACAAAGTAAGATAAATTAAATACAAAAAATCTTTTTAAATAATTATGAAGGAAGCCCCTGGATGAGGTGATTTGTGGCAATGGGGTGGCAGGTGTGTCAGAGACAGTGAAACTTGTTCAGGATAGGGCAATGATCAGAGCTATCGTTCAAAGAGTTGCTAGGAGTTATAGCCAGCTCGAAGACACATAATAACTATTCTAAATGTGGTTACTATTTTATTTGTGTATCTGGTTTTCGTGTAAAAGAAGGGCTAACCTGAAAGTTTCATGAAAAGCCTTTCTTAGGAATGTTTGGCATTTTTCCTATTAGCCATATTACAAAATATAAATAACTTATGCTAAAGAGATTTATTCTTTAAAATATTGAGCTCCCTTTTCAAACACACATAATTATGATTAATCAAACTATCTCAACAACTTTCTCTATAAGTAGACCAGGAGAATTTATAAAACATCTTTATAAAACAAATGTAATTAATAATTACTATATATTACATACTTTTGGCATATAGTCAAGAGAGGTCAGTGCTTGGAGAACAACATCATGCTTGGAAAGGTAGAATATCAGGGCAGAGAGAAAGACCCTGAAGGAGATGGACTGACACAGTGTCTGTGGCAGTGGGGTCAGGTCTACCAGGGACGGTGGGGTTGGCTCAGGATAGGTCAAGTTTCAGAGTCGTCGTTCAAAGGGGTCGCTGTGAGTCATAGTTGACTCAATGGCATATAACAACAAAACAAAACTGGTAACTGTTGTTTCTTAGGAAATTACTTTTTTAATAGTTAAATTTTTGATATTACCTTTTCTATATTTTAAAGCGTAATATATATATCAAAATTGTTTCATTTCCCTTATTTATAAATAATTTACGTAGTTTAGAAATGTTGTTATATGCCATTGAGGCACTTGAGACTCATAGCGACCTCTGTATAATAGCCCT